CCCCCCCCCCCCCCAATTTGTTTTTCACTTCGGGCAAACAAATTCGCCTAGTGGGAAACGAGCTGTATGCGAAGTCCCAGAGCAGACCCAGACTTCCAGATATGAAGGGCTTTCGCGCGAAACGTCGAAGTGTTTTCTATATTTTTCTAGTAGTTACCAACCTCGTTAATATTGTTCATCACTACCTATACTGCAATTCAATATAGTACCATTATTTTTACTAGATTATATGATAAAAACGTGTCACGATATGGCAGCAGTTTATCAGAATGTTTATACAAAGGAAATACAGGCTTAATGCTACTCTAACGTATTCTAACCAATATACTTCCACATTGTTTATTCTCTAATCCCTTTCGCTGCCAGTTCATCTTTAACTCTCTTCAGGTAATCTGGATCGGGATAACCATAGCTGGAATGGAATATATGATACTTATTATACTACCTATTGTTAAACCTAACATTACATTGTAAACGCAAAGTTAAGGAGGATGTCGGATGATATCATGCTCCATCATATTTCGTGCACTTAAATTGGAAAAGACTCGCTACTAATCCCCGTTGACTCGATAGCTCAATGAGTAGAGCGATGAAACTAGTTTCTTATATCTCTGAGGAGGATGGTTCTGCAATAAACCGCTCCATCATGTTTTTTATAATTTGGTATTCGATAAAATTTCTTTGTCACAAACACGTTCCCTCTCACCATAAGATAATTCATACGTCTGTTGAGTCCATTTATCAGGTCAAGTTTGTTTAAACGGATGGTGAACAATGTACACAATATATACATACCCTGTGGAACCCCCATACTCTGACGTTTTATGGTGAATATCATTCCAGGTAACACAATCATCCCTTCCCGTTGTTGTCGACCGTCCGATTGTGAACGTCAATTTCTGCTGAAATGCTTTCTGTAAAAGCTTAAGAACTTTTCTTCCTTCTTTATTATCAGGTAGATAAGCAGTTCGGCTTGTTCCCGTGTATGGTTTGCCAGGATGAGGATGGTCTTGGCATTGGATCCCACTTGGGAACCGGTAAGATATAACAATAGTGCCGCACGATTTAAAACCAGGAAGAGATGTTGACTGAAAACTATCATACATATTTCCTTTCGGTTGGTTGCCTGTTAAGGGACCATACACCATGGAACAAATTGGACATTGCTTCTTCACTTCAAATGCTTTGTCGATGCACTTGGTACAAAATGAATGGCCACATTTATCCAAAGATTTCTTTTTAGTAAATCCACTTAAACAAATGGAACATTCGTCGTATTTCGACGTTTTGTTATCAGCTCCAGGTTTTGAATCTGAAAATAAATCAATTTTAGAAAAACGTTGATCACACTAAACGGATAAACACAATAATACATTGTTTATGGAAATTATCGAGTGGAAATTTACATACATTTATTAAAACCTTCAACTATTATTCAATCGAGTGAGTGTATTCTTTGAAAGTTGCAAGATAAATTTTAAGTGTCGTAGTCCAGTAGTCAGTCTTAGCACTACATATGAATATCTATATGTGTGTAAGTCCCATTCGAATCATTGGCGGACACGAGGGGGTGAAAGGGATGGCAACACCCCCCTCTCCCTCGCAATTTCTGAAAGCCTTTGGATGGTAGCTGGTAACAAAACTGTAACATCAATTTACAGCCATGAAAGCATTGCTAAGCCATAAATTGAGCAAATTTGATTAAATTTAAATTAAGGGAAGAACTGAGATTTTCAGAAACAAAAGCTAGTATTATGGTAGCAAGCTAAATTTCCCTCTCCCTGCCATATTTCTCCAAGTGTCCGCCACTTGTTAGAAAAATTTGCCAGCAAAGCTGTTCTTGAACTTACTTTGAAATAATGAAACATAAAACCGATCAACAGTTACACAGTCTTATGAGTTCTTATGCAGCCATAGCTCTTGGTTTTTAAAACTCAAAATTGCTTACCATGATCTGTATCAGTATTTTTTCCTGCGGCTGCTCCAGCATAGCTGAGAAGTAGAGGCTTGTCATCTGGCGGACGTGCTCCTAAGTTTGGGAAATTGAAGATAGCAGAACAAAAGAAAAATACAATAATTAAGAAGTGCGCCTAAATCCACATTTCATAAAAAAGCCATCACGAAGTTTGATATATATTTAAATGATCGTCAGGTTAAAGACAAAATATGTCTCTTTTTTACTTTTGCTCGAACATTAAAATGCTTTGGATTTGCAATTTCTATTGACTATGTATGCATATAGCTTGTAATCCCTCTCCAACTTAAAATCAGAATTACGAGGATATTAAAAGCCACAGTTAAATAAGAATCAGAAAAGTACCATAATATATAAACGGCTAAAAATAAAAAAATAATGTTTTCGACATTTATTGATGAACACCCCCGCCCCGCCCCACTTCGCTATTTCCTAATTACAATTACAGTAGGGTTGTTTTAACTGTTAACATTCAAGGAATGCACCCCCACTTACCTGTACCTTTATTATCGCCAATGTGATTGTTATGATTGCTGCCCCTGTGGGTGACATTCGTTGTCCGACCCCTGTCAGAATTGGTCTCAGACTTTGTCGTTGTAAAAGCCATCCGCTGTTGTCCAATCTGCGTTTGTCTTTCTTGTTCTTTAGTATTATGTGAGAGACTCGTTTCGACCTTTTCTCGCTTGAGGGAACCGTGAAATCTCTTCTCCATTTCTTGTACGAATTTACGATTTGTCGAAGAGTCAATGTTGACAAAATGAATTTCCTCCAGAGAACTCGACTTGTCTGCCTTACTTGCGAAATGAACAACCGTCTCGAACAGAACTCGTGCGCAAACATCCACGGGCACTTGATATAAACCTGAACCGATAGCTGGGATTGAGATACTTCTCGCACCATTACGACAAGCCAGACATAAGCTGTTGAAAACAGCGTTAGCCAACAGTTGCATAGCTGTATTTGGTGGATGACGATTCCAGACAGGACCAACTGCGTGAACAACAAATTTACAAGGAAGTCGCCCTCCGGCTGTTAATTCGACTTCTCCTGGCTGAAGAGGACGTTTGCCTCTTTTCCTCATGATGTCATCACTTTCGTCTTGAATTGATCTCCCCCCGGCTTTAACTATCGCCCCGGCTGCACCGCCTCCGTGTTGAAGGTGATCATTGGCTGGGTTCACGATCGCATCAACATTTTCTTTGGTTAAATCACCTTGGTAAACAACTAATTTCAGGTTCTCGGATAAATCGGATGAAAACGTTTCAGACAGAGCAACGTTTGCCGTTTTCCCTTTTGAAGAACTGCTACTACCAGGTCCAGGATTAAGAACACCAACTTTGCTTTGGAAGAACCTGTACGCTTCTTCAACGTTATCTTTTTCACCGTAGATCGTTATTTTATCCAGCTCCTGAGCTGAATCAATAACCACAGAAAATTTGGTACGAGCCTCTGAAAGAACGTCCATTTTATCCTTTGGCAGCTTTGCGATATCCTGTTGCAGCATTTTTTGGTTTTGAACTTGATAGAAGTCAATGAACTTATTGACTGCTTTTGAAAATTTGTTTGGATCCACATCTTCGCGGGGAGTGAGCTTCAAATTCCTCTCCGTCTTTGACTTCACTTCAAAACTGATTTCTTTGCAGACACTTTCAAGCTTTAGAAATACTTCATAATGATATGCCATGATGTAGCGGAGAAATAGCAAGCTGACAGTAAACGACTCGTCCGGTTGTTTACTTTGTGGTGTAGATAGAGTACCCGCAGGTTGGTCAGTTACCGTTGATGGGTCAATTGCTTCAGGCGAGGCACCTGGTTGGTCGTTGATGGTAGAGGAAAATGTGAAATTGTTTGCTGTGTCATAATTATTTTCAGTTTGATCAGAACCAGAAAGAATAGATATAAGCCTCTGTCCGACAGCATGAATTGCATTCCACGTGCCAGTTAAATACCCACCTTTTGTATCAAGTTTAACTTCTCCCTTCTCCACAATTTCCTTCAATTCAGCTTTTTTATGCATTTTTTTCACAAGATCATCATTTAGTTTCACTTTCGTTTCGTTAAACGGTGATTTTAGCGTGGTAGCTTGGCCAGGAGTTAAGCCTCGACAGGTATTAATCTTTTTTTGACGGGCGCCTTTTCGAAGCCATTTGTTCTCATTTCTACTCCGATATTTCCTATGCGTACTGTTATGTAGTACAGACCCATCTGCTAACCAGGCGTTTGAAACACGTTCAGGGCTGGCATGTGTTGACGCCTATATGTAGAATAATATCTAACTTACACTGGTAGATCATCAGGTCTGAACTGTTCTCTCTAGTGATCGAGTGCAGGTAGTCCCTTAATGATCTTATATTATAACAGTAGGAAACAGAGGTACTCAGGGAAAATATATGTTGTCTGGTCAAGTCAAACTGGAAACTATCTAAGCTCTGAATTTATGACGTTGAAATTATAATCAGGCAAGTACTTATTGCAGAAATATAACCCTGATCGAAAAGGCGAAGTGCACATGTACTAACAACTGTGCAACCAAACACCGTGTTGCAGCTGTTTATAACAAAGCATATTCATACATTCAGTTTTCCTGACGTTCCACACCCACACTTGAACCTATTGGGTTATACCCGATGAGGCGTCGGTGGCGTGGTCGTCAGAGCAAACGCCTTTCACCTCTGAGATCGTGGGTTGGATTCTCGCTATGGACTCGTGTGAAAAGAGTCAGTCAATGCTCTGCCGAAAGTCGTGGGTTTTCTCCGGTTTCCTCCCACAGGGAAAGTTGACAGGGTGGGTTAGGATAAACACAGTTAAGAAAGTAATATCACAATTGTACAATTGTTGTAAAGATAAAATAGTCTAGGCTATAGGTATGTAATTAGGTAAGTGTATAGTATTTGATATAAAGAGCATTTGATCATATCTACATGTAAATTTGCGCTGTAAAAATGTTAATCGTAATTTAGATCATATCTGAACTAGATCATATCTGAACTAGGAAGACGTACTGAAATCTCTATACTTAAGCAACCATGCACTTACGGTCCACTGTTCCACACTCAGCTCGGTGCCATCAATCTTGAGTGGACCACCTATTTGGTCAAAAACAAAATATAATATTTTTTGTTAAAGGGAAATGACAATATATTTTTTTATTTTCTCATTTGAAAGAACTTTTAAGACTACGTATAATAATCGGGGTAGGTATTTTTCGAGGTGGATGTAAACAAGTGACGCGTACTCGCAAAAATATTGGC